TCCAAGAGCTGGGCTTCGTACTCTCCCTCTCAGTTGGGCGACCGATGGCTTACCTCGTTCTCTTCCAACCGAGTACAGCAAGAGAATGCGAGAATTCGCTATTTGTATGGTCACGTCACGCGTTGCTAACGACGCTGTTATAAACAATTCGTGACGCTAAACCGCCGGCCTCGCGGTTTTTGGCGGTTTTTCGTTTTCTTATCGGCTGTTGATTAATTTTCGTGGCCGTTACAATCCCTTTTTAACACACTACGCATACTAATGTGCTTCAGTCTCTGCATCTGATCCACTATTTGTTTTCATTAAAATCCGATAATTCGAGTTAAAGGTGTGGTAAGTAGCGAATTTCTATGATAAAAAAGTTGAGAAAACAGTCTATTGCAAATTACTCGTTAACTATCGGTGCCAACGAAAAATATTTCAAACAAAAGCTGTAGCTGTAGTCGTCAGCTACAAGTAAGATCGTATGCAATTTTTCCTTACGTCCAACGGTTGAGGAGTATTTGAGGAAAAACAGAATTTTTTTTACAAAAGTTTGCTGTTCCAACGATAGCAGCAGCCGGATTTTATTAGTACCAGTAAAACGCCCGTTAATCTTGGTAAAGTTTACAATCATTTGATTGGGCATTCGAACACACTTCTAATTAAATCCATTTAACTTCATTCTTTCAATTGTTGCTTAATGTCGTTATGTACAAAAGTATTTAACATAAAGAAGTACAACTACTGAGGGAAGGAAATATGAAAATTTGAATCATAAGGGACTTTATCGCGCGAAAAATGTCAAAAAAATCGGTTTTCGATTTGTTGAAATACGGCGCACTTCACCGAAAAATTTGAAAAATAGGGTATAATAGTTGGGTTGAGGCACGTCTACCATAAAAATATAAATGATATACCTCAAAAACTTCTATATGAAATAAGAATTTTTGTTGATGCATTTTTAGTATTTTTGATTTTTCACCACTGAATTACGCAACGAAAAAAATCTGAAAAATTCTCGAATATCGAGTACTGGTGTATCGTGCACACGAACATGCGAGAATTTCTTCAGACTTATTTCTAAACGTTCAATAGGAGAAATATGGCAGAAACGCTAAAACTGATTAAGCCCCATAACTACACTCCGGATTTAGATAGAGGGTTGAAAATTGGCATGTAATTCTTTGAACACTCTATCGAATTACTCAATGCCAGTTGAATTTCGTTCAAGGGAACATTTGACCATTTTATCCGGCTAGACCTTTTATGAATTCTTCTGAAATTTTAATAAGAGTTCCTTTAGTTCTTTATGAATATGCAGGGTGGGAAAATCAAGAGAAAAGCGATCGGTCCACTGGGCACTACGCCGCGCGCCGAAAGACGCTCTTGCACTTTGCACCCGAATTTCTTAGAATCTCTTCAATTTTGCATGTAGTTTAGTCTGTACGTTTTTCTTAACATGTAAATTTCCCGAAATATTTTGCAACTTTGCCAGCTTCTGCCGATTAATCACGCATTAACCCTCAAGTGTGCCTTCTGACGGTCCGGCTTTTGCTTTGCCAGCAACAATCAAATCTTTTCCAGGTAAGATATTTCGTTAAACTAGGTATGTGGATCCCCATGTAGCCAGCTCTCGGTCTATATGAACATTTACAAACACAAACAAACGAAAACGGTGTGGAAATATGTAGGTACATATTTTTCACCGCGTTTTGCGCGCTACGCCTTAGTAAATCAATTTCCGCGTATTGTTCTATTTGAGCAATCGATAAAAGTGCATAACAATTTTTTCATTTGATATTTACATGCGAAAGGAGAAAAACAGAAGTATTCAGACACAAGTTAATTACAAAAGTAAAAAATAAAAATCGGTGCTTGTTTTTAGTTTTACAATTTGTCGCGATATCAAGAGCAATTCTGCATGTGACACATGTTAATTCTATGGATATTTGCTCACGCATGGGCAATGGAAAACTTCATCGAATACAGTTCAGAAGTTGTCTGGAAACGTAAGCGGGCAATAAAATTAAGAGGTAGACTACGATATCGGCGCAATAAGACAGAATGTGGATGTTACCCACAAAATTACCTAAAAATATGGGTTTACGGGTATAGACTTTTCGACTTTATGTAAGAAGATCTTTTTAAGTATCAGATACCACTTAAAAAAAGGAAGAATAAATCTAGCATGCTCTGGTCATGATTTAACCCTTTGCGCTCGAGGCGCTTTTCTGTCGGGTAAACCAGCAACTCGAGAGTAATATTTCTGCACCCGCTTATTTCATGAGTTCGTTATTGTTAGCTTAAAATAATTTTAGACACAATAAAACAATTTAAACTTGTATATTTT